AAGCCACCAGAGTTTTAAAAAACATAACAGTTGAGATCCAGTCTGTTTGAAGTGAACAAGTAAATTAATATGTTTTAAGAAATAGTGACTCTTTCGAAAACACTATAATAATATGCTTCTAAATATTTAGGATTCTTTGTTCCATGTGAAACCAGCACGTTCATTACTGGATTAGCAGGAATATTTTTCAAGGCCAGACTCGAACCCATCTTGTAGATTTTGAAACACATTTGGAATGCTGGGCTCCCTCACAGTGGTCCCAGGGGCAGATGTGTTGCTCTCCCTCGTGGCTGGTGGCTGGAGAAGGCACAGTTCAGCCTCAGCCTTTGGTTTGCAGTGAGGAGCTGCTTTTTACTGCAGTGATCCAGCTGGCTTGATAGGGGGGCAATTAAATCAAATGATTTGCTCGAGATCACAAAGGCAATTAGTGACTCGACTGGGGGAAGAAAGTTGGGCTGGGAAAACTGAAAATACTGGTTCCCATTGTGGGGCAGTCTCTCAGTAGCATTTAAGTAAATTAAGGGGCAACCTATTGTATTTCAGAGTCATCTGCACAAACTGCTGCATGGTATAGACTGAATTTACATCAGTGGGAAAACGGAGAGGCAGAAGGAAAACTGAACAAAAAAATTGAATACTTTCATGTGACAGATAACTTAACAGACCTATCAGATAAAGAAAAGAAAAATTTAAATTAAAATTTGTGTTCCAAAGCCTTTTGGTTTTGTAGGTATCACTTTTGGAGGAAAAGTTTTTAACGAGTCTTTCTTGCTTGCCTTTAGTCATGTACTAACCAACCTTTAAAAACTGGTTTCTTTTCCAGGACTTGTCTCATTTACAGGTGTTCCTTTGTCTTTGCTGTTTAATTATATTTTCCTTTTGCTATTTTTTAACAAGCTAGAGACATGTCAGTACTGTGATGGGACTATCATGTCAGGATGACATCACTGCTTTTATCAGTAGGTTTAGATGACTGCAGAAGACTTTTCCCTGCTGCATGCATTGATTACTGATAAGAGTGAGGAGTTGTCATCTCCTGTGCTAACAGAAGGCAATGACATGTGCACATTAGCTCACAACTGGCATCATAAAATGTGATGGTAGAGGAATAGTGAGATTTAGGGTTTTCTGATACGTCTTCAGGGGCAGAACGAAACACTCCAGCAGGGACAGAGACTCCTGCGATTGCTTTGCACCCTCTTCCTCCTTCCAAACCCGACCTCCCTTCTCCAGGCCTTTCATTCCCTCCAACATCAATTTTTCAGCAGTTTTTTTGTCTTCACACACTCTTCATTTCAGCCTCAGTCTCCTGACTTAGCCAGTGCTGCCTTTCTCCCTGGCTCGCTGCCCGAGTCCCCTGCTGAACTCAGGATGTGGTTCTGCCAATCTAATTGTGGGCTGCTACTGAAAGGGGTTGTGCATCCCATCCCTCCTGCTGCCTGTCCTGGGCTCCCCTGGGAGCTGAGTCAGGGAACTAAACTTGTAGAGATCCTTTTCTTTCGGTTCAGCTCCCTGAATCAGGTCAGCCTGGGGTAAAATGAACACCAGTGCTAAAAATCCCAGTCAGGGTGGGAAGGGACAGTGGAACAGAGAGAGGAGGGACCATTCTCTTCCAGCAGCACTTGATAATTAATGTGAGTTTCATCACTAAACTTCATTTTCAGCCCCAAACTCCTCACCCTGTCTTTCCTGTGCTTCATTTTCCCTCTTCAGCCCTCTTCCTAATGGGTTCCCATTTGCCCCTGCCCTTTCTGCTCCCTTCCCAGAGATACCCATCAGCTCATTGCCAGCTGTCTTGCCCAGCTGCTTTTTTCAGCATCAGACCTGTACTTCAGTGACCCCTCACAGACAGACCTTACCCGTATCTGCTTGTGGCTGTTTCCAAAGTATTAGCTCAAGAGGAGAGAAAAATGGTTAGCAGTTAAGGCAGATACCTCATTTTTATATACTCCTCTCAAACCAGCCCTAACTAAGAAGCTTTTTTACTTGTCCATGAAAACAAAAACCTGAACTGTGACTGCATGTGTTATAAAATGGATGGAAACCCTGACAGTTATGAAACCCCTACAAATTGAGCTTTCCTCGCTTTGAACCCTTTGTATTAAAAATAAGCAGTGAAATAGTTTTCAACAATAGTTAGAGGCTCTTGTTCCTACTGTAAACAAATGCTGAATATCTGGGCAGAAGCCTCCTCTGTGTAATGCGAGTCAGCTCCCATTGCCTTCCCAGGAGTTGTGGTGCTATATGTGAGAGCAGAATCCTGTCTCTGGGAATAAAGGAGTTTTTTCAAGAGTGAGGGGGCTCTGCACAATGAATGCATTTTTACCAGCCCTTTCTGATGCATTGGCAAACTCCCAAACACAAGAACTGTTTCTGTAGTCTTTCTACTCTCACAATGACACACATTTTCTTTTTCATTTTTAGTGGGAAGTCTTTTGTAATTTTTTTTTCCTCGTGAAAATGCACGTCTTATGTTTCTTGGTACTTTGTACAGTGAAGTAGAAAGTATTTCTCAGTCATAGGATTTTTGAAGTTGGTCCTTCCTGAGTTTATCCTGGATCTTCTGATTTCAGCTTCAAACGTAGCTGCAGATAAAGGAGCAGATTGGAGCCTGATGGATACGCCTCTTGCAATTCAAAAGCTGCTTGGAGACGAGACTGGGCAGGCCCCTGTGGAGGTTCCAGCAGCCCCAGAGAGCTATCCAAGCGGTGCCAAAGTTGTGTCACGCTGTGGTCCACCCCAGACCCAAACTATAAAAGAAGGGGGTGGCTTTCTAGTCTTCAGGAATTCTCCCATGGGCCAAATTGAAATTGCCTTTAGGAACACAAGAAAAAATCAACTTGGGCTGAAGAACTGCCCTGTATAGAGTTTCTGTACTGTGAACGACTGCAATCTTGCTTCCTATCATATTTTATTTTTTGCCCAGAGTTCTGCATGACAATTTTTTAGAAGAACTTAGCATGTATGTTTGGACAGTTAAAATTTTCAAAGTTTGGATTTTGTTGGGGGTTTTTTGTGTGTTAAATGGTTTACATTTTTATCATCATCAAACCTTATTTTCTTGCGAGTGACTCTAGGTGGCTTTCTCCCTGCTGTGCTTTGGGAAGCACCAATACAACTGGTCCTACCAATTACACAAAGATCTGCCATGCAGGTAAAGCAGCCTCTCCAGAGGAACAGGAAATTGTGAACTGAGGAGCATTCCTAGTGCTGGATGGTCTGTAAGGTGAGCCCAAACTTTTCCATGGTCAGGCACCCACATTCAGAACCACCAGTGGCACTCACTCCTTTCTCTCTGTGGAACCAACTCAAATATTTCAGTAACCACCTGACACACACAACTGGATTTCTTCCAAAGCCGAGTTAAAAGCTGTGGAAAGTGTATCTAATCTCGTGTTTTAAATGCAAGCAATTGTGTACCCAGTATCTCCCCTGATATAAACTATTTAAATATTTAATTGCCCTCACAGTCAGAAAATGTCAACATTGGGTTTGTCTAGCTGCAGTTTCCAGCAAATGGATACCGCTGCCTTTGCCAGCGAGGTTGAAAAGGTCAAACTATCAAGATTTCTTTCCTACATTTAAGTACCTACTCAAAGGAATCCACTCTCTTGTGCAGCCCAAAAATCTTCAGTGGTTGCTGGGTAATTCTAGTTCCTCTAATAATTTGCTTTACATTTTCTTAATTTCTTTATTTTTTAATATGAATATATTTAGATGTTGACATTTCATTGCATAATGTAGGGCTTGGTTGTTCCTTAGAGAAAATCTGATTTTTTTTTTAATCTGTATTAACTCCCCCAGCCTTTGCACCCAGCAAACTTTAATGTCATTGAATCAGTTTGGTGCCCCATTCCAAAACATGGCTATAGGTACATTCTGCTGACATATTATTCCCTAGGAGTGTAGGATACCTATTTGAATCACCTGGGAGAAATAATTCAGCAAAGCAGTTGTTGGAGTGGAATGACAGCCAGTCTTTTGCTCGGTGACATTTAGAAGAGAAATAAAAATGGAGAGAGCTTATTTTTGGCCCGAAATGGAATCTGATCAGTGTGACACAGCGTAATTAGTGAGGGACAGCTATTTTCTGCTGCTGTTTTACAGCAAATGGAATGATTTGGATGACGTACTGTAACAGAAGAGGCCTTTGGAATCAGACAGTTGGGAGGCAAATAGGTTTATTCTCTATTATACTTTACTGCTTTCTGGCATGAATTATAGGGCAGCCATCATAAAGATTAACCATGCTGGCTATATATTTCCTTTTCATTAATTAGTCCTCTTGTTTAAGGTATCTCTTATATGGTTTCTCTTACATTTTAAGATGCAGTCTGACATAGCTTTTTCACTCGGGTTTTATCTCTGGCTTATTGACTATTTGGAGAACTGCTTTGATGTAGAACTTTCCTGTTACACTTCAGTTTTGCAAAGTCTCCAGGTCTTGCCATTACTGATGCTGTTTGAGGACGCTGTGAGGGAGCACCCATTGAGCTCCCCCTCGGGGCTGGGGTGTGCAGGGGCTGGGCAAAGACAACTGCAGGGCTTTGGCTCTTGATCCGTGCCAGGGAGCAAATGGAGTGTGCCCCGCTGCTGCCCGGGGCTGGGCAATGCGGCTCTGTGCTCTTCTGATCTGGGCCCAGCGAGGCGTCAGCAAGCGGCCTTTTGACGCCTTGCGCTCCAGCAGTCGTGTTACCAACTGCCCTTCTAGAGCATCCTGACACATTCGTGTTCTTTTTTTCCGGGATGCCGCAATGGGGCTTACCCGTGTGCCCGGTGTTTCCCTACCATGGTCGGGCAGCGGAACCGCAGCCCCCCCGTCCTGTCCCCCCCCTGCCCCCGCTCCCCTCAGGGCGGGCGCGCGGGGCCGGGGCTGGCGCGAGGCAGGGCCGCGTGCGGCCGCAGCGGGCGGCGCGAGCCGCGGGGGGGCGCGCGCGCGGTCGCGCGGCGGGCGCGGATTGGCCGAGTGCGGCGCGCGGCGGGTCCCGCCCGGCGCGGGGGCGGGGCCAGGCCTGAGGGGCGGTGCCGGGCCCCGCGCGCCGCCCCCGCCCGCTGTCCCGCCGGGCGCCGCGGCCGCGCTCACTCAGCGGCTGGAGCGGGCGGGCTGCGGCTCTCTCTGCCGGCAGCCTCCTCCGCCGGGTGCGCGACGCGGCCGCTGCTCGCCTCGCCATGGCCAAGGAGACCAAGAAGCCGTTCCGCCAGAGCATGGCCGAGTGGCGGCAGTTCATCTACAACCCCAGCAGCGGCGAGTTCCTGGGGCGCACGGCCAAGAGCTGGGGTGAGCGCTGCCGCCCTGAGGGGCACAAGGGCGGGGCGCGGCGCCAGCCGAGCCGAGGGCGGCGGGGAAGCGCGGGAGGAGAGGGAAGGGCCGGGGGCGACGGGCAGGAGTGGGAAGGACCGCGGGGGCGGGGATGCGGGCGGGCGTGCCAGGTGAGGCGGCGACGCCCGGCGCCCGCTACAACCGCGCGCTAAAAATAGCGCGGTGCGTGACAGCGGGGAGGGGGCGGCAGCGCAGCGAAGGAGCCATCCCGGAGCGCCCCCCGGGCCCGCTCACCGCCCCCCGCCACCGCTGCGGGCCCGCGGGCTCCTCCCTCCCCCGCCCGGGCCGCCCCGGGGGCCGCCGCGGTGCGGCCGTGACGGGCCTCGGGCCGCGAGGTGCGGGGCGGCCCCGCCCGCCGTGTGGCCCCCGCAGCCCGCGCGTGCCGGGGCAGCTCCGGCCCTGGCAGCGCCCCCCCCGCTCCAGCGGCGCGGGGAATCCGCAATGAATGGGCGCCCATCGCCTTTGTGCCGGTGGCTGTGGCGCGGGGAGGGGGGAGCACGAGAAAAACCCCAGCCCCCCAAAAAGTTCGTGAGCCCCGATTCCAGAGTGAGCGCTGTCTGTCGTTGTGCGTCATCGTGCTAAATTTGTTCCAGCGTGGGGCTTCTGGGCCTTTTATTTTCTTAAAGGAAGCTTTCAAAGGAAGGCTCTCCAATAAAGCCTGTGAAGGCAGTGTTTGTTTTCCTATTTTCAGGTAGTCGTCCCATTGCTTTCCTCTGAGCTGGAAAGCGTGTTATCATAATCTCGTTGCTTCCAGTAAAAATATTTATATTTTCCGAGTGTGTTTTCTCATATTAAAGCGTTGTACAGATGCTTAATATTAGGATGTTTCTTCAGCCCTCATGGGACATATTTACTGACTTCAGAAAATGCTGCGTCTCCTCCCAAAACTTGGATGTAGTCGGGATACTTAATCGTTGTGCTTACAAAACCAACAAGAATCTCAGCGTGGTGTAAAGGAACAGGCCAATACATCCTTGGCCTTGACACAATCTCAATGAATGCTAATGTTGAAATAGCGAGGAGGAGCTTTCAGCGGGCTGTGCTTTCTCTGCCGTGCCAGTGTCTCCTGTCTATCAGGAGAGGGCCCGAGCTCTGACAGGAGTTCCCCTCCATTCAGATGGAAATAAGAGCTCGCAGCTACTCTGCCGGTTGAATAGCAAAGGAGAGGAAATTTCCACTCTGCTGTTGTCTCCTGATCTTTCTGTGCAGGCAGGTTTCCTCAAGTGCGTGGGCCGGCTGTGTGGATTGCAGAAGTCTGGCTGTGTCATGAGTCTGAGGAGAACAGGCTGTAGGCATGTTAGAAATAGCTTGTAAGTTTTTGCAGCGAGAGGTGAAGATGAAACCGCCTTGTCTGTTCAAACCTGTCTGGTAGGGCAAGTCACTTAGTCCGTGTTAGTCCCAGGCCAACACTGGAAACATAAGTGAGAGGACTTGGGATTTGAGTTTCTACAGCTACTTGTTAAAAGATGTTTTTGAGAAAGTACGTATAGGCAGTTTGAATAATTTTACTGTGTGCAGTCAGCTGGAATAATTTCATTTCATTAGTAAGTTTTCTCTAGGGGTTTAGGTGATTGGCGTGTGGTTAGTGCTGTAAAGCATTTCCTCAGCCTGGACATTAGGAGGTGAATGTTTAGTGTCGCTACAAATTTTCAGTGCTTTTTTTCCATCAATATTTGTTTGGTTTGGCATTTTGTGATTACCATACCGTGCCTGTTTGATCTAGTTTAGTTAGAGTCTGACTGTTGCAGGACGTGGTGTGTGGCTTTGTGTTTGGTTTCACTTTTTAATAGCAGGACGCTAATTGTGTGGCTCTTGGCACAGAAGAATCTGCAGGCTTTGGTCTCATTTGTGCCCTTGCAGTACTGGTGTGAGCTTAGACCTGTCCCACTGACAACTGTTCCTTCTTCCTGAAGGAGGTAGGAGAGGAGAGCTCTGGTTCCCAGTCTGCTGGGTTTTCGTGTCTCCAGGGGCAGCACGGTGAGAGCTCCGTTGGCTCTGGTTCTGCTGTGCATATTGCTCTGGTCTCAAGACATCTTCCTCGCAGAAATGAGACACAGGCAGTAGAGAAACTGTTCAATAATTGTTCACACCGTGTGCATGTTGTGCCTTAGTCTGAGGCAGTCCCCGGGGCTTATGTAAATTGTACCTGCAGGGCAGTGATTCTCTGTGAATCCCGGTAGTGCTCCCTGTCTGCCGTTTCTACACCAGCATTTGTGAAGAGATCAAACACCAGCAGCTCCTACGCTCACATTTGTCATGGAACAGAGGTGTGTTGCCTCTTTGAGTTTGGGAAAGGGTTGCCTGTTTCAGTTGGGTGAAAACCCCATAATATGTCTCCTCTTGAGGAAAAAAAGTTGGGGAATTTCACATTTTTTTGCAGACTTGAGGGATAATTCGGTTTGAATCTTTCACAAATTGGTATCCAAACCTACACACCCTCCCCCCCAAACCTATTTTTAATTTTTTGGCACAATCATTGGTTGTATTAAAGAGACAGAAAATGCTGGGAAACCTGTTGATGACTGGAAGTGGTAGTGTTGCCAGCAGAAGGCATGAGGGGTGCTGATGGTCCTTGCAGAGGTGAAGGGAAGGGGACGATCTTTCCTGGGGTCCACCCAGAATTTAATCAGGTGGGGCAGAGGGAGGAGGACTTGGCAGGCTGCCATTTGAGGCCTTTCTGCAAGGAAAAGGAAGATCAGAATTGGACTCTGCCTGTACTGGCAGGGTGCTGTGCATGCCTGGAGTTAAAATAGGAATGGAGTGACATCAGCATGAAAGTGCTGGAATGGGATGCTCACCAACACACTGAGGTGTGTCCACAGTCTTACAGGATAGGCAGTAAATTCTTTTCACACAAGGTTATAGAAAAATAATTTGTGCCAAAAAAAAGGCAGTATAGACTCTAGTAGGACATCATCTGTGGTCACAGTAGATGTCATGTCAAGTGTATTTAAGTCTTTCTGTGAAGCTGGTTGTGTCGAGGTGTTTGAGGCGGAGGTGGCATTGTCTTGAAGTACATAGAAATTCAGACCTGCTGAATTTTCTGTTGAATGGGTAGCTGTACCCTTTAGTGCACAAACACGTGCTTGGAGCTACAAACAAACAAAAAACCCCACCAGCAAACCCCAACACCTTATTTTTAGGCAAGTTTTCCACCATGTCAGTGGATATGCAGTTTGGTTGGCAGCCATAGCAGAGGATCCAGTTTTGCTTCTGCTTTGTCTTCACTGAGTTCCCGGTTGCACATTCAGGGCTGTCAAAGTTTTACCTGCTTTTCTGAGTGGAATCATCTCTGTTCTCTCTCAGTGTTGTGAGCAGGGGTTTATTGTGATTTAGCTTTCTTTCCCAGTAATGTAATACTAAATGTTCTGGCATCACTGTCTGCCACTGCAGTAGGATGTTTTCCCTGGTGCAGATCACTGAAGAAAGGCATCTTGCCTTCTCTTGTTGCAGGTATCAGTGAGCTCTAGTGGTACAGTGAGGGTATTTGGGGTGTCCAGGGTTTTTTGTGTTCTAAATGCTTAATCATGGCATCAGACACTGGCTTTTGTGCTTCTTTGCAAGTGTTGCACTTGATGGTTTTTATGATCTCCCGAGGTGTAGCCATGTTATATGTGGAGCCCTGGCTTACTGTGACATAAAATATAACGTGGGACTGAAGTTGTATTTCTTCAAAGTCTTCCTCTTCCTCCCTCTACTGTCCCCCAGATCTGGAAAACAGTAATTCTCAAGTGTGTAAGAAATAAAATTGAAACATGATCAGTGATTATTTACAATGTATGCTTATGTTAGTTTGAGGAAAGAAATCCATCTGCAGGTGAACTAAAATTCCTTGATGTTTCTGGCACTGGTGGGAGTCAGTAGGAATGTTACTTGGATATTTAAATCCCACTAGTTAAAGATGCTGAAGAATGGTTAACAGGTGATAGGATCAATGCAGCGTGGGATCCAACAAACCTGAAAGACAGCATTTAATTTTTGCTGTTACAGGTAACGTTGAATATTTCCTTCCATGCCTTTGGCAGTGTGTGTTCTGATACCTGGATATATCTACCTGTGTATTGCATACAGGTGGATTTACCAATCTGCTTTATGCCAGATTGACGTGCTTTTTATCAGTTTTGCCATGTAAAGTTTGGAAGGCATGTGTTCCTCATGGAAACGATGGCCAGGTGATACCTTGCATTCGCCAGTCAGAAATTCTAATTTTAACAGTGGAGAAGTGCTTTGATCCCTGCAAGTGAATCCCAGCTGATGATGGTACCAGCACATTGGTTCAGAAACAGCAGTTTTCCAGATTTGACTTGCTTGTTCTTGTGGTTAGGACATGAAGAAGGGAAGGTTTGGTACTGTGATGGCCTCAAAAAGAAAACCAAACCAAAACAACCAGGCAAATTGTAATGCAGAATTTTGGGTTTAGTTTTTCTCGTGTTACGGTTTTGGTGTAGCAAGATGTTGTGTCACTGAATTGAGTTGCATGGTGTGGTAGCCTTGCTTTCCATGGAGTAAATGTGGAGGATGGCTTTGCACTGGTGCTTGGGTACATCCTGTTTCCTCACAAGAAGTCCAGTGTTATGTGAAGTTATTTTGGCAGGGTTTTTTGACAGGTTATGGCTTGCTCATTGTGATTAGCTTAGGATAATTAGAACTAATAGGCTCACAAAGAGCAGCTTACTCAGTTCAAGGCTGTTGGAAGTTGCAGAGGAGTTTTTTTGTTGTTTGGGTTTTTTTCCCCTCTTTTTAATGTGGCCAAGTAGCATAAATGGGGCAGCTTAGTGGTCAGTGCAGTGCATTTCCCAGCTCCATTAAAATAAGGATTAAAAAGAATGTGTGTGCACACATGCAGTTTGGTGTAATCTTTTAGAAATTAGAATAACGGTGTATTACAAAATAGCTCAGTGAAAAAAAGATTTCCCTGACTTTCTGGCTTTTATGCTAATTGCCATGGAAACTGCTTGTCTTGTCTTCCACGTCAAACTCTTTCTCTGTTCCATTGGAACTGTTTGATGAATGTCTGGGTCACTTGATGGGAAGTGTACTTTCTAGACAGCTTGGTGGAAGTGTATTCAATAATTGATTAACTTACCAATCCAAGTGAGAGCTGACCAAAGGTTTTGTGAGGAGCTTTTTTGTTTGTGAGTGCCCAGAATACACTGGGTATTAATTAGAAAATCCTTGTTCTGTTTTGGATCCAGTTAAAGCAATTATAGCTTTGTAAGTAAAGCAAATTGCTGGTGTACCAAATACAAATGCAATTTTTGTAAAGCTTTTGTTGACTAGGATTTCTACTGTTTGTTTTTATGCTCTCTTTTCAGCACCCAAATAGCTCCTACATAACCTTAGATAGTTTATAGTAGATGTAGAGCTCTCTTGTTCATTCTAGAGCCTGGTTTTGTGTTTGCACACTTTGCTACTTCTAATTGCTGCACAGAATCTTGCATCTCATTGGTTCCAAATATATTTGAAGTACCTGATCACTCTCAGACTTTTGCAGATGGGTAAGTAACTTTGTCAACACGTGAAATCAAAAACTAAAACCAAACCAAAGATGCAATAACATTCAGCTGATTTCTGGAGAGAAGTTACCTTAAAGATAATTTGGGAATGGCACATTATTGTAGTAGATGTACACTGAATTCTTGCAGAAGCAGTGCAGGTGCTTGCATCTTTAGCAGTCCTGGGTTACTGTGGGTTATGCTGGCACTGAATATTTCAGTGCAAAATGCACTCATAGTTTCTGGGACAGGAGCCAAGGATTAGGCTTCCTTCTGTCATCTTCCAGTGGACAGTCCATATCACTGGGATACAGTCATGTTTGCTTTTGCTCTGTCCTTTTCTATGGCAGGCTGAAAAATACTGCCTTTAATCAGATATCAGTGGGAGGATGTTGTGTGATGGTTTTATGAGCTCTTCTTTACCTGGGTTATTTCGCTGGCTTCTGACAGCACCCTTATATAGCTGGACTATTCTGTAAAAATTGAATTTGTGTCATTTGGTTATGCTGTTGAATTAGAAAGGTTTTGGAGATGGCTCTCTGTCCAAACATCCGATTTCCTCGGTACTTGTTCAGCTCCCGTTCTGTTTGCCAGTGTCTGTCCATGTGTCCCTGAGTCTCAGGTGCTGAGTCTTTAAACAGAATCACACGCTCTTAGGCTGGGGTTGTACACTGGATTAATGAACAAGGTGAAGCTGTTAACGTCTGTGTAACTGGTGAATCCCACTGAGGTTGCTGGGTCCCTGAGGTAGATTGCTAGAGCAGGTGGATGTGTTAGGTAAACACCTGATAAATCTGAATAGAAGGCTTGGTTTGTTTTCCAAAATCTGCAGCAGAAAGCATTTTCACCCTGAGGAGTCTCTTGTAACAAGACCTGTGTGTGAATGTGTGCTCTGTGTGGAGTTCCCTCATGGATCAGCTATGGTTTGAAAGCACTGATTGCTTCCTACCTGGTCGAGATCCAGTGTAATAATTTTATCTCTTCAGTCAGTTCTTTCATCTTCCCAACAACCCCTTCCTTTCCAGATACAAAACTAAAATTCCCTTAAGCAAGTGAAACTTATTTTTTTTCCTAATGCATTGCTTAGTCATCTTTGCCAGCTTTCCTATGTTGCCCAAAGAGCACTTTTTAATGCTTCCTGCTTAAAAATAGAACTGCTCAAATGCCCTGTAAGTTTTAAGACTCAGAAAGCATTAAGAAAACCTCTTTGTATGCATTGTTGTGCACTGTGCATTATATATGTATGCTAGAGACATATTTACAGCTACCAACATTGTATTGCCTATTTCCTGGGTTTATTTTCAAAATAGGGAATGGAATTAGACGAAACAAAAATAGTAATTTTAGTTTTTTAATTCACAGGATTGATCTTACTGTTCTATCTGGTGTTCTATGGCTTCCTAGCAGCACTCTTCACGTTCACAATGTGGGTTATGCTTCAGACCCTGAGCAGTGATATACCAAAATATCGGGACCGCATCTCTAGTCCAGGTAACACTGTATTTATTTATTTTTTCATCAACCTCTGTCTGGTTTAACAGATAATTTCATTTGAGAGCTCGTTGGAGTTGTGGACTACTTATGGGAAAATGGGATTGTTCCTCAGTCACTTGCAGGTTGCAAAGGTAAAACCTGATGTGCTTACAGCATAAATTCAGGCCATAGCTTCTTGTGTGTATGTGCTAACTTTTGTTGTGTTTTCCTCTAAGCTCTTTTTCAGTTTTACCTGCAAATCCAGCGAACGTGCTGCTGGAGAAGTGGGATTATAATTTAATCCAGTTGCTTTAAAGGCACCATAAAGCAGTTCTCTTGGATCAGAGGGAAGGCCACCTTGCTTAGTGTTTGGTCCTTGGAAGATGCCCAGGAGGGCTGTGCTGTGGGGGTGCTGTGTCAGGGCTGTGGGTTTTTAGTTCAGTGTCAGGTAGTTTTCAATTGACATGGAATGTCTGTGGATTTCAGGCCTTGTTGGCCTTTCCTGTAGGGATCAGCTACAGAGAGAGGGGCCTGTTTTGGGATGAAGTCCATGTAAGTGGAGCTGCCACTAAAGGTGGTGTCCTGCTCCTGGAGCTGCTGCTCCCTTTGTGTCCGTGCCCATCCAGTCCCACTGCTGGCTGCATGTGACAGAAAAAACCCTGCCCAAGTAAAAATGTGTAAGAAGGTGGTTGCCTTATTTTTTTCTTTCTTTTCTCTTCTACTGTTTTATAACTTTTTTTTTTTTTAAAATACATCACAAAATTCTGACATAGGCTCTGTTTTGGTGTAACTCCATATTGCAAAAATATTAAGAATTTTCACTCTGAAAGGTTTAAGAAATGAGTCTGAGTACTTTAACTACACCAAAGAGATTAGTGTGTTCTAGTTACTGTTTCTGGAGAACATGTAAGTGTTTGATTTGTATATGCTACTGAAATGGTCTGGCCACCTGAAAATTTGATATCTCAATTTTTCTAATAACTTGTCTTAGGGACCAAATTTATGTTTAAAACGCAAAACTGAATGGTGCAATATTAATATTTTGGTGGAAGTGAGACAGCTTTATTTTTTTAAGTACTTTCCCCTTTCTATAAACTTAAAACTCTTAAAATTGACCAACATCTTGGAGCTGCATCCACACTTAAGATAATAGAGTTATCTTTCTGTGAGCAAGTTGCAGTTGGACCAATGAGATAAAATTATCTGGATTCTGAACACAGTTTGTTTGGTGTAACATTCTGGCCTTCTCTAACAGGTGTTGCCTTGTAACTGAGTTTAGGATTTGTGTTGTTTTTTCAAGCTAAGAATGGGCCTAGGTGCTGGAAAGAATAATTAAAAAAGAAAAAATGAGGAAAAAAAGGTGGCTTAGTTGATCTTATCTCCCCATTTCCATTGTGGAAGTCAGAACCTTGGGAGTGGGTGGAGCTGGGGTTTAATGCTGGACTTGAGTGATGTTTCTCTTGCAATTCAGGGTATTTTCCTTGACTTTGAAATAAGTCATAGGGGATCTTTGGTTAAGAAATTATGTATGCCACAATTAGTTTTTAATTTAAGAACTCCTGTAACATTTCTGAATGAAATCTTTTTATTAACCGTGTCTTTAGTAGCTCATACATAAATGTTAATAAAATTGCTTGTTTCTGTTTCAGGGTTTTTAACTCTGTCATTTGTCACTTGCAGTGAAAGATGTAATGTTCCAGGCTGTAAAACTTTAAATTATAAAACCAAATTCTACACGCAGAACCTGGATGGTGTAGGTCAATGGTTTTACTCTTGTTAAACATGCTTGGAAATCTCACAATTGATTTATTTTATAATTGGTACTTGACTTGCTTTGTACACTGGGATATAATAGCATAAATCAAATCCAGATGATTTTTTAAAATCCCTCTTGGAACTGCAATATAAAGTAATTTCTCTTACACTCCTGGATGTGATCCTGTGCTGAGGCTGTTAATTCTGCCCCTTTAGAAGAGCCCAGACCCTGCATCTCTCCCAGTCTGTGCATCAGTCCCTCAAACAGCTTTTGCTGTAGAATTTACACCATAGTCCTTGGGCAGGCTGTGGTCCACTGGAATTCAAGTAGTCCATTCCTCTTAGGATGTTTCTGAAGTCTCTCTGAAGCAATAAATCTCTTCAAATTATTGTTTCATTCACTGATGACTAGTTGAATTATTTTGTCATTATTCCCTTTGAAAAACATAGATAATAATAATCCCTTATTCCCCAAAGCCCTTGGTGTGTGAAACACCTTCAGTGATTTTTCAGCCCTTTTAATAATTATCTTGTATTTTGTTGAATCCCAGTTCAGTGTGAAGGCCAGAAAATGTAATGGTACAAAGTAATCTGCAGTTTAACTTTAGTATTTGTAGGTTTACATGGACTATCAGTCGTTGAGGCATTTAGTTGTGGCTTCCCTGGAAATAATTTAACTGCTGCTATTGCAGAAAAGAGGATCTATGATTTATTGGGAATCCTAGAAAAGATCTAGAGTAAAAAAAGCATTAAATCGTATCTGGATTTTTTTTTTTTAGAATCTGAAAGATGTTTGTCTGTGATAAATGTTTAGTATATACCTTTGTTATTATCATCTTAAATGTTTAGTTTGTATTGAGAAGGCTTGATAATTATTTTCTTTTTTTTTTTAATGGGGAGGGAGGAGATGAGTTTTATTCATTAAATTCTGTTCCTTTGGCAATCTGCTTTTAATTAATTTTGCCAGACAGTAGGGAACTACATGGCATCCTAAGCTGGTACAGTTGGTTGCTGCTGTAATTGCAACTTTTTCCTTTATGCCAAATTTGATTTTGATCAAACCATTTTAATATTCCAACTTAGGAAAAAGTTTATCTGATAAAATATAGGTTGGGGTTTTGTGTTTGTGGTGTTTTTTGGTTTTGGTTGGTTTTTTTTGTGGGGCTGCAATGTCAGTTCTCGGCTATATTTGAAGAGACAGATGCATGGACATTCACCTGTTAATCACAGCTACTGGGTTTTAATCTTATTTATATTAAACAAAAGCTACTGTGAGGTGCTGTGAATGAAGCAATCAGTCGTACACCCTCTTTTGAACAGCTCTGAGCTCTCCTGCAGTGGCTGGTGGCTGGTGCTGTTCCACCTGCAGCTGAAGCTGTGCTGACCGACAGGAGCATCGGGTGTGTGTTAGACTGTCTGTCAGACACAGCTGATGGCAAAGGCTGGGTGTGCTACAGAAAAATCCCTGAGCTTTAAGTGCCCCTTCCTTGGCCCACGTGCTGGGGGAAGGACAGTTCAGCTCTCTCAAGGCCCCAGGGACACGGCCCGTGGCTGCAGGAAGTGTCTCGTGTTCTCCATGGAACAGATGGAGCCCAAACTTTCTGTTGGAGGACGTGGAGGAGAAGAATAGAAACTACCTTGGCTTGTCTGTTTTGACTGGGGTAACTTTCAAGCCATCTTTATGCAAAATCAAGATTTTTAAAATGCTTTTTTGTCTGGGTTTCTATGAGAAAAATGCAATCGTAGCTTCACTCTATGCTGCCTAAAGCTTTGAACCGTTGCTTGAACTGAAAGTTTTCTGGCTGTGGTTTTGGGTATTATTTCAATTATTTTTCATGTTTAATTTGCTGAGTATGGAAAATGGGAAGTGAATTGGTAAATATCTTTGATTGAAACTGATTAAGCTGCTGATTTTGCTTTTCCTAATCACTTGGGTTTGCTTTGTGAATTGCAGCTATGCCCTGGCTTGGATTTAAGTGTTAATTAATGTAATGTTGATTTTGATAACTGGCTTCAAACACAAACTGCCTTCCAGTACTGTGGAATGTAGGGGTACTGTTGATGTTTCTTTACAGATAGACATTTTCCAATTTATGGATATATGGAATGGGTTGGAGTGGTGTAGGAAAGAGAAGCTGGTTAGTTCCTAACTTGCACTTTTTCTTTTTAAGGACTTATGATTTCACCAAAGCCAGACACTGCATTGGAATTTTACTTTAACAAGAGTGACAGCCAGTCATATTCGGAATATGTTACCACACTTAAAAATTTCCTTGAATGTAAGTTACTTCCAACTCCTCAAATAATTCCGGAATCTTTGTCTTGAGAACATTGCTTTCATTTTTGCTTGTAGTTCCTGGTTGCTCATGGAGACTAGTGCAAGGTTCAGGGTTACCACAGATATGTGTGTTATTTACTTTACAGAAAAAGGTAAGAAGTGATGCCTGTATTGGACAGGGAGCCCTGGGCAGGGGCAATAGTGGAGTACATAATGGAGAGTTTTGTCTCCTAGTCCAGTGTTTTGGTGACATGGTTATTTAAATACTGTAGGATGTAGAAATTACATCTGCCAAGAGAACGTGATGTAAAATAACATAGGCCGTGTATTTGGAGGCAAAGTTTATCAAGACTTATCTAATTGGTCTTGATCTAAATGATTTGATAACTGAGGATCCTGTGGCCTTGAGAACCTAAGTGTCTGTTGGAAAAAATTAAGGCACACAAAGATTAAATTAATTGCAGTTTATTAATTTTCACCCCAAAGTGAAAATTCTTCACAAAGAAACAACTTGGGGTCTTAGTATAAAACCCATTACACCATCTGATGTAAATGTAGAGGCCATTTAATAGTACTGATTGAAGTACTCGAAGTTTTCCTGTGCATTTGTAAAAGGAACATGTGCAAAGGGAAAACTGATTCAGTTTCCAGGTGAAAACTTGATTGAAAATATAATACAGTTTATGTATAGGAATTAATGAAGTTGTGATTATTGTTACAGTTTGAAAGGCAGGATGGTATTACTTCTTTTGTAGTACTGTTTTTATTCTTTCATTCAAGGGCAGTGCCACTCCTTGATAAACTTTGAAAAAGTGTTTGCTCAGATGGCTGTAGGAGACAGAGTGCTCTGAAAATAGTTCTTTGAGAGAACTGTTTGACAAGTTGCACTATAAATTATATACTTATATAGGCATCAGCAGGCTTTGGCTGCTCATTTGTTTTATGCCACTGACTTAGAAGCTGTTTGTGTTTCGTAGCATACAATGATTCCAAGCAGTCCCAGAACATAGACTGTGCTTCAGGGAAGATTTTTGAGCAGAATGATGCTGCTGTTAAAAAGGCCTGTCGGTTCAACCTCTCTAATCTGGGACAGTGCTCTGGAAAGGAAGATCCGAATTTTGGGTATTCCAAAGGAACTCCCTGTGTGCTTGTGAAAATGAACAGAGTAAGTGCCTGCTTCGTTTTTAATTCTTAGTATAAGTTCTCCCAAGTACTGCTGTATGAAAAATGAATGTGGAAGAGTGAAATACATGTGCAGTTTGCTACTTGAGATGTTTGCATTTCTAGAATAGTGTAATTTACTGAAAGTCTGGCAATTCATGTTTTCAGAGAGTAGAACGAAGTGAGCTTTTTGAGCATTCTAATATTTTTAAGTATTGGCTTTGACTACTTGTATCAAAATATCTGAATCCCCTGTTTTAAGAAGTATTTTGCTTTTTGCTTTTGCTTACTGTTCTATGAAATGGATTCTAGACCACTCTGCAAGTAAAGTGTGTTTTGCTTCCTGTGTGTGATGCAGAAATCTAAGTAGGATGTAATGATTCTGGAACTCCTACACCGTGAACGGTGATGGAAACTTCACCAACTATTTGACTTTTCAGTGATGTTACACATCGCTTGAATTGCTAATTGGTTTGAGCCAGTGATGCTGCATGCTGAATGCAAAATAAGAGAAGAGTCTTTTCTGTGGCTACTGTAACTATTTGACTTCATTTGAGTAAACTGTTAAACTTAACAATGCTTTAAATCTTTGTTCTAGTTTAAAATTGTGTTCTGGTAAAAATGACACTGAAAAGATTTACTCCCTGTATGAACTCTTGTCATTTAGTGAGGTAAAAAGTCAAATGCAGTCTGTGAGATTGGAAAGGGGGAAAAAGGAGTGTAAACATTGTAACTTTGTCTCCTTTAGATAATTGGATTAAAGCCCGAAGGAGAACCACATATACAGTGCACACCCAAGGTCAGTCCTGAGTGTAAGAAATAGTAGTTCATTTTCCTTATGAGTAGGATGAATAGTGAAGTAATTTATTCTCTTTCCTTCTTGTTAGAGACTCTGTATTTTTGTTTTGCTTTTCATCTTACTGTATGTCTAATTTAGTTTTAGTGTCTTTAGTTTCTTCAGTGTACTTTTAAAAATATTTTTCAGTTGTTCTTTCATCTTTAGATGTGTTTGAGCCACCTGTCTTGCTGTAGAGTTGTGCAAAATACATACATGTTATTTGTGGTCTTGTTTATTTATTGTGAGTTATATTTTGTTTTCTCATTTCATAACCTCTATTTTTATTTTTTTCTCCATGCTGCAAGTGCACCTTAGACAGTTTTATAAATGATGGGTAAGATGCTGTGTGTGGAAACTAATGTTACTGCTCAAGTAAAAGCTGCCTTCAAATCGAGTATAAACTACTTACAATAACAGCTAATGATGCATATTTGGTGTGTACCGATGGATTTATGCAGAATGTTTTATGGCAATTATAATAATTACTGTGACCTCTGGATGTTTTTCCCAGACTGCTTGGGGAGCAGTGAAAGCCTTGGTAAGTTTGTAGCTTGAGCAAAGGGCGGAGTCCTGGCTTGGAGCTTGAGGGGACTGATAAAAATGGAGGCTGGGAAACGTCACCAGTGAAAGACAAAATACTTGCAAGGTTTCTGCCTTCTTCCTTAGCTACCTGTGGGAGGCATAGATTTTAATTCTCGATTTTTGTGGAGCCTTTGAAAGTGTTGATCTCTCCATTGCAAGCAAAGGTGATTCTTTTTCTTATTTGAGACTTTCTCTGCTTCCATTCTCAAGAAAGCCATTGTTCTCTTGAAGGAATTATTTGCTTTTTAGAATAAAGCAATTAAACTCCTTCTAGTAGTCTCTTTTTTCTTTGACTTGTCTAGCTTATCATTTTTTGTGATGTGATATCCCAGGCTGGACAGAGGTTGGCCTCTAGCTGAGCTATGGTTAATGGCACAGTTTCTCCCTTTGTGATCACATTGGAAATAATAACATTTCTCAAAGTGAAGTTGCTGTTTATAATACACTGAGTCTTTATTTTAATCATTCTAATATTTAGATCTCTCTTTTGGTTGTTTCCCAGTCTGTATTTGTAGATGTGAGTCCTTGAAGTTGAACTTCCTTTTACTATTTTTGGCCCCTGCTCTGTAATTTTTATCATCATTTTAAAGGCATCAAGTTCTCTGCAGTGTTTTGCACTACTTAGAGCCTGGTCCCAGCAGTGACTGAACTTGGTTTCACATCTCACAAGTCCTCACTGAAAACACTGAATAGGGTTCAGGACAGTCATCTTCGTTTCCATCTGAAGTGCCTTGTGGTGTGCTGAGAACTAATGTTCATGTGATTTATAAAATACTGATGGTAATCTGATTTTATGATGATTCTATTTCTTGGGCTTTCTGGATGCTCTGTGAGACAGTGGTAAAAGCTGTAGTAAGCAAATTCCAGATGATCCTTTCTCTATCCTCTTAGCTGGTTTCAGTAGCAAAAGAATAAGTTTGATAAGAACTTGGTTGATAATGATGTTTTTTTGCTATTTTGCTTACCCTTTGAGATACACTGAAATAAATAACAGGTATTTTTTTGCATCCTCTTTCTGTAAGCACAGATTACTTACAGAATTTATGTAATAAAGATAGAATATAGTTAGAAGTTCTGTGATGATGAGCTGAGCAGGGTCATCCTAGTAGAGCTCATGGCACAGGGTTGGGTCCAGACAGCTCTTGAACATCTCCAGTGAGGGAGACTCCACCCCCTCTGGGCACCCTGTTCCTGTCCTCAGTCACTGCACAGGAACGAAGTTCTTCCTCCTGCTCAGGTGGAACTTCCTGTGCATCACTTTTATGTAAATTGAGAGCAATTTGGGCAAGTGTCTGCCTGGATTTAACACCACCTGACTTTGAAATGGTACTTGAGTTTTTACAGGTGTCTCAGGTACAAAATGAGGTGAATGGCTTTTCTCTGCACATCCTGCCAGTCTTTGTCACCTGAAACATCATTTGAGGTTTTCAGTGAAATTTCTGCTCTTCAGGCATTCCCCTGTAAGGCAATTCCTCTTTCTTCTCCCTGTTCTTCTGTGGGATTTTTTCTGAAAAGGTGGATCTGTGATTTCACAGTCAGCACACTTCCAGTCAGGGATGCTTTCCCTCTGCCCTCGTAGTGGTGTCCATCATCACTGTGTTTTCTGTAGATTCTGTTTGCAGTGTCAGACACCAATTACAGGTTCTTCCCTCTGCACCCTGGAGGAACTGATCTGTAGTCTTGCTGATCTCCACAAAGAGAAACAAACCAACCCCAGGTGGTGTTTCCAAGAAGTTTGAAGATCAGCATTTTAGGTCTTCCCTTTGGGGCTGGGGGTGTGCAGCTCCACATGCACTGGAACGTTGTGCTGCAGTATTCTTTCAGGTTAAAACTGCCTGCACCGAAAACTGGTAGATTTGATGGCAGGGTTTTTAACTAAAGAAAAGGAAAAAACCCCTTAATTCCAAAATAAATCCATTTCTTCTGTTCAGTGACCATCTTGACTTTGTACTTGGTATCACCTTCTAGTGTACAAGAGTGAAGAGTGGTCATGTGAACGACACTACGTGCCTTGCTCCTGTCAGCACAGTCAGGATCTGAGTTAATTTGCTTTTTGTGACAGAAATCTGTGTTGGTTTCCAGTTTCCATTAAAGCACACTGCTCTTGATCTTGTGCAGTGATACCATTGCTTCTTCTCGAGTGATCACAGACCATTCCTGGCCAAGTTCTTTCCTTGGGTCTTTCTATATTATTTTAATATCTGGAAAATTATTCTTTCTAAGACACAGTTTTAATAAAGGCCAAGTTAGTGAGGTAGAAGTCCATCTATCCAGCTAAACGTTCTTATTTTAGATTTGCTGACTGTCAGCAACTCTTTGTGGAAACTAAATGGTAAGCAGATGAAGTGACATTCACTAATGGACTGATTCTTGGAGCCCTTCAGCAAAGACAGCTTGTTTGGGTGTTTTTTGGTTTGTTTTCATTTAATTGTGTAGGGATATTAATTAGAATGAATGATATTAATTAGAATTAAACCCCCCAGCAGTTGCATGAGGCAGGCGGCTGCATGTCCCAGAAGCCCTCTGCTCTTGCCCTGGTAGCCCAGTGCCTCCCTGGTTGTGAGTGCATGCATGCCTTGTGTTCAGCTGCTCCACACAGCACTGTTTATCCTCCCTATGCTGTTCGGATTATTTAACCATTATTTCAGAAATGTATTTGAAAAACGAGCATTTTCAGCTGCATGAGCTTTAAATAAAACACAATGGCGTAAAGCAACCCATTTCTGCTTAGTAATTATATTTGTTAGCTCAGGGTTCGAAATCCTTAATAAATGTATATCAAAGAATTGCAGTCACTTACCTGCAAAGGAACGGGAATGTGGCCATATCCACACATTCTTTTGAGGAGGTCAGAAGGTCATCTTGAGATGTAGTTTGTTCTTTACTGTTTTTTGATCTTAGTGGAGTTGTCTCCTGAACTCAGTCGAGTACCTGTTTAAAATCCCAGCTGTTGTATGTGGTAGTCTAGAAAAAGCAGTGCCAGTTGCTGATACACTTTGAACTTGTGTGTTACACTGAACCAGCAGTGATGGGCTGAAGATACATTTAGTATTAGGGGGGTGTTTTAATGGCATTTCCCTTGATGGTGGTGATATATTTATCTTATTACAGAAAGCCACGTTAGATGTGGGCCTTTCCTGGTGGTTTGCCATCCTACCAGGATACACAGTCCTGAAGAGTGCTGTGTGTAGGGAGGGGTGGCTGTGTCTGGACTGCTCAGTCACATCCACATTTTTAGTGTATCTTACAGATTGAGCACTCCTCAGTCAGAAATTAGGCAGCAGCTTTGGAGGTAGCTGCTTCTTCTTCCCAAATTTGGGATTGGAGGGACAGTCGAGTGAGAAGGCACACGTGTTGACATGTTGTTCCTCTGAGGTGGTGATGGCACACAGAACTCTGGTAACATCACCATTTTAAACTTGGATTTCTTTTTAGGTGGCCTGTGCTTGAAGGAAACACACAGGCTTGCTTGTGGCCACTTGGGGTTATAGTTACATATGGGTGATTTTTGGTTGTTAAATTATTCATTACAATGAGTGTCCTCTTCCCCCTTCCCTACTTCTTTGACTCATAAGGGAAGCATGAAGGCAAGCTGTCTTGATTGCTAATTTAAATATACTGTTAATCCTTACTGTAGCAGATGTGTGCAGCATGTAACTCTTTGCCAAAAATCTATTTTCAAAGTTATTCTATGAGTTTGTAGGTCAGTTGCCTTTTTTTTTTAGGTATCTTGTGCTTTATCATTGGGTTTTAATTCTAATTTTGTGTTCACTTCTATGCAAGCAGATGTTAACTTTGGATGTTGTTGCTGTCTCCAATTACAGGATGAAGGCATGGTTACTATAAATTATTTTCCTCCTGAAGGCAGTATAGACTTGATGTACTTTCCATACTATGGGAAAAGCTTGCATGTAAGTCTGCTTTAATGATGGTCTCCATGTGGTAAATGTTGTGCTTCTGTTTGCATTTACAGCTACCAATCTCAGATTGATTCTGAGGTTTGAACTCTGTAATGAGGTACTCCTAAGGAATATTTGATGTGCAGAAATTGCTCAGTGCTTGCTGAGATTAGAGATGCTTTATCAGACATAAGGAATTAAACTGGTCATTGTCCTAGTGAAGAAGTGGCTCTGTGGCCTCAGCACTGAGAGCATCTGCTCTTTTCTGGGCACTGGTATTTTTTGAATCTTTTTGAAGGCAGGAATTAAACTCAATTTCTCTATTACAATACAGTTTCTAATAGTTAATCCTCCTTGGGGCTTATGTATAGGATATTAAGTTTATAGTTCCTTATGGTATTGTTGATTATCTTTGTTTGTGACTCTACAATTATGTTTTCTGTTTGCTTTGTTTTATGAAGGTAGCAGATGGAGGTTTTTTAAATTGTTGTTGTTCTTATTATTAATAATCATCGTTGCTTTTGTTTGCTTGGTCCATCTATCCTCATTTTATTCTGACATAAATTTTATTTATCTAACTGAAGAACACCTGATGTGGAGTGGGGGCTCTGATTTTAGGGATTCTTGTTGATATGAGGCTGAAATCTCCTAAGATTAGTGTAGTGAGAAAAAGAAGAGGCACCAGGAAGAACTGTGAGGAGTTTAAGTGTTTGAGTAGGTCTCAAGAGTCTGGATTGATGTCTTGGCTATGCAACCAAATTTTTATATTATATCAGAGGGGAACTGTAAATTACTTCTGTAAAGGAGTTAAAGAGGATTCAACTAAAGTCCCTGCCCTTGTGCTAAGATAGGAGCCATAAAAATACTAATATCTACTATTTTGTGATCCAGGATGGTTGGTTGTCTTTTGCTGCTCAGTACAATGAGCCAAAGTCTGACCTTAGAGAATGTTCCCTTTTTCAGATAATCTGACATAGTTAATGAGAGTACTGACCCTCTCTCCTCCTCCCCCAAATCTTTATTGAGTGAAAGGACATCTGTTTTCAGAACATCATAGAAATTTGTGTACTTCCTCAAAAAATCTCGGTGGTGACAAGGCTTCTCTCCCTGAGGAAAGATGGGAATTTCAGTTCTGATTTTTAGAAAATTTAGCACCTCAAGTGTGGCACCACCCTCACAGGTGGGAAGTTTTGAGGGTGCATCATTTTTTGCTAAGGAGACTTTGAGTATTCTGTAGTGTTTTCTCTGGTAGAGAAGATGCTAAACCCAACAGAAATGTATTAAGGAGTCCTCTAAATTAATGAGGAGAGGGGGAAATCTTAACACAAGATTTTGTTCAATTAAAATTCGAGGTTTATGCTTGTATAATACTGTTGTGTTGTATTCAGTCCATTACTTATGAATTCTTACCAAGAAAATAAATAATTCTCCTTAATCAGCAGTCAGCAATACTGACCTAAAAATATTAATAAATTATGGAAATACTTTATGAACATTGGATGAAATGCTGCCTTAACAATGTATAATAAATAAGCTCTTATTTAATTCATAAGCACTTTACAAGAGTAATGGAATTGGATGGGAGGTTTAATATTAAATTGACAAAAAAAAGAGAATTGGTTCTGCTCTCATTTTAATTTTAATTTTTATTATAAAGGAGCAAAGTGCCCAGTTGTGATTGTTGCACCAAGTGTGGCTGAGCAGGAAGGACCCTGCCAGGATGTTGAGGGAGAGGTTTCTGTCTCAAGCTGGCAAACAGAGAACACCTTTTACAGTGGTTTCTTGCTGAACAAACAACAGTGGCCTAGGGTAGGAGAGGAGCTTTTTTACTGGCATTTGTTGAGTCACACTTGAAACCCTGCTAGGAAAGTTAGTTCTGTAGCAATTACACCCACCCACCCCCAAACCAAAGCCAAAACCAGTGGAGGAGACAGCAGAATGGAGAGGAAGGAGGGCACCAATTTCTGAGGTGGTTTCAAGTGGAGGTTTCTGGAAAAATTAGACCTAATACAGTAGAAAAGGGTAAAGTCATACTCTTCCTGAAGATAGTGTGACTTAAATTATCTTCAATAGGTTAGGTAAAAAGTGAAGAATGTTTACCTGACTGACTTGGAAAAAAAAAAGTGTCTTACTCAGGTTGTGCTTTGAAAAGTTGGGTTCTTAATCAGCTTTTTTTCTTAACTGTTCTGATGGATTAAATGTTAATTTAATGCTAACTTACTCTGGTCTCTCAAATGTTTTCCCCGTCTTTCTGTTTACTAGGCTCACTATTTACAGCCTCTAGTGGCTGTTCAACTAACAATTCACCCCAACAGTACCAAAGAAGAAATAGCAATTGAGTGTAAGATCCTGGGCTCACCTAATTTAAAAAACGAAGATGACCGTGACAAGTTTCTGGGACGAATTGCCTTCAAAGTTCAGATGTCTGAATAGCTGGGGGAAATGTTCTCCACCAAGTCAATGTTGTGTTGTCTGTTTTGTATCAGCTGGACATGCCATCCTTAGGATATGAGACCACCTTGGAGAATGGTGAGGTGGTTTGTGCCGTTCAGGGTAGCATAATAATATGCTTCCAAATTGTATGTTTAAAACTCCCTTAAAATAAATGCCTCTCCTGCTTTTGCCTGCCCCGTTGGAACAGTGTACAGACTAGAGTTATGTCATAGGGACCTGTAAATAGCTGTTCTCAAACACATAATAATGGTGACCTTTGTCCTGTTCTAAAACGTGGTTTTATCCCCCCCCCCAAGTGAGTGTCTCAAGCTTAATGTGCTGTGCTCTGTAAATATTGTACTGATTTAACACTGGTTTAACTGTCATATCTCAATGCTGACACAGTTAGAGGGGTAAATAATAAATGGTACCTGACTGACCTAGTGAGTTCTTTGTGAGAGTAAACATCTCCAGCGTAAATGGTGTGTATGGGAGTGGGTGGGTGGATGGATGGCTGAGTGGAGATGCCTTAAATTGTAGCCTGGGTGGCGTGGGAGAACTGAAATGGATTTTAAGAGTTGGTGTGGATTGCTGAAAGTAAGTGCTCAACTTAAGTACTTCCTTGTGCTTGTCACTGTGCAAGTATCGTGTCCATGTAATACTTGGTGTAGAGTTTGGTGTTCTAGCTGAGGAGTTGAATCTTTCCTTTGTGTTGTTAATTGCTTGTAATATGTGGAGCACAAATAAAATCTATACAATATTTTAAAACTTTTTAGTTCAGAAATATCGATAGAGAACAATTAAAAGTTGTTTAGGGTCACGGTAACAGTTGTGCAACAGAGCTGCTTGAAAAAGTGGCTTCACTATTGTGGGAATAGGCTTTCATTTTCCAATTAAAAAGTTTCTTGAGGAACCTCTGTTTAAGGAAAAAAAAAAAGGAAAAAGAAAGGATTGTCTGGATTAAACATTCCTGTTTAATTTATATATGTTTCGTTGCATCATTTTGACATGTCTCACACCTTCATCTGCTCCTTCATCTTGGGCTTTGTGTGTATTTCGTCATCATCCCTTTAGAAAATTGGTGTCATCAGCTGCTTCATAGAAACATCCTGTTGGCCTGCAGTGGAACTGCAGATGCAGCTGCTAAAATGCCTGGAACCAGCCTGGTTTATTTGTGCCTGCTGCTCACATTAAACCAGGCTGACCCTCCCCTGGGCCTGGACCCTGGGCAGCTGTGCTGACATGGGATTTATGCCGCTCTTCCCCAGGGCTTCAGTTTGCTTTGCTCTTGGGGGGTGTTTTTTTGAGCACATGGTCCACATTCTGGTATCTTGTTAATATTAAAGACCCCAGCAAATCCGCATTTGTGTAAATACCTGTACGTTCTGCTAGCTAGGCCTGAATTTGTTACTTAATAGGCTTTTATACCTAATTGTTACAGTGGTTTTTAATGTTTTATTTAAACCAATTAAATGAAGAATTTCTAAAATTCAAGATCCAGTCTTAATGCCCTGCTTTAAAAAAGTTTGAGGCCAGTCTAAGCCACATTAGTGAAAACCTTTTAACAGCTGTGCAAGTTTACACTGGTGCACAGCTGGAGGAAGCTGCTCTTAATGGGACTTGAACAGTGTCTTAAACCTCATTAAAAATAGATTTCTACTGATCTGATACCATTCAGCATGCTTTTTGTTGTCTACAGAAGAAAGTTGTTGTTCCTACAATATGCAATGGGTATTTTTGTAATAATGGCATGCATTAATACTGAATGAGATGTTCTTTACAAATATTCCATTACTGATGTTTGAAATGATGCACTTTTGGGGCTGGGATACCTGGCTCCTTGAAGATATGACTGATTGCTTCTCCGTGTATTAATACTGCCTGGAAGTATTTTAATAGTTGTGAGGGAACTTAAATGTAGATGTTGCATCTGACAATGAAAAGGATTCGCTTCATGTAAAAACTTCTCACATTTGTGTTCACTTAGGAATGGTAAGAACTTCTGGACAAACACTCAGTTTTCCAATGAGCTTGTTTTTTGCAACAGTTTCTCTTTTCTCTATATAGACAAAGCATGAAATGGCAACTCTTCACCAGCACTTTTCAGACAGGTAAAACTCAATAAACTCCTGTTCTCCCTAGATTCTGTACAAGTGTTTGGTTGTGTTTTTTTAAAAATTTAAACACAGAAGGATTATCAGTTGGGGGAGGGGGGAGAAATAAACTTTTGAAAAGATTCAGCTGTCAAAATTATCATGTAAAACATAAGTAGGTAATGAGTCTAGTTGTAAACTGTTTAATGAAACTGAACTGGTTCTCGTGTTTATTTCTGGGTCTCAAGTATGTAAATGGTGCAGCAGTTACCTGACAGTAAACAGGGGTACAGACTGTTAAAACAGAATAAAATTACTGATTTCCTTCACGTGAATTTTACAGTCAATTAGACTTCATTTTAAATTATAATTAAGGATTTAAATTTACTACTTTGTTACCAGAAACCTGAACTGTTTAACTTTTATACTGATAAATACTTAGCTTGTCTTAGTTGGTAACTTTTACCATCTTCAAGTCTGGAACAAAGGCTTGGAATTTTAAACCTTGTGAATTGGCTGTTGTTGCAGGTTCTGTGCTTTTCATACCACCTTGACAACCCCCTGGTGTCCGAGTCAGTTGAGGGACCTTCCACCTGCCCTCCCTCCTGTGGACACACCCCAGGTTAGAGAGGGAGCTGAAGACAGGATTGCTGAGAGACCAGGTCAGCTGCAGGCTTTATTGACATCCATCTGCAGGAGATCCCTTGGGGACAGGTGACATTCAGCCCTGACTGGCTGTTCCTTCCAGCTGGGGATGCTGCTGCTTCTGGGACAGAAGGAATGGAAACCTTTCCTTTGGCACTGGAATGTCTGCTCCAGTGGTTCCCCAACAGCAGAGAGGGAAAATCCCAATGCAAAGGGAGAGTTGCAGACTAAAGGAGTTGGGAATGAGTACAGAAACAAAGACAGGAGTGGGGAGGGAGTACTGGGTTTTGTGGGTTTAATCTGCTCCTCTCTGATAGATTTAGAAAGGAAAAATATATTTCTGTGCACCAAGCCCTGCTGATTGATTGCCTACAGTTTTTTAAATGCAGAGTTCTCAGGAGCCTGGGATTTGCCCTTTTTCAGGATGTTTTTCTACCTCTTTGTGAAGCTTATTCATCATAACTTTTGGAGGGTAGGAGTCAAATAGAACTTGAAGCTGGACAGGAACTTTGCATACTGAAGCATTCAGAGAGCACTCTTGAGTCTTCTCACGAAATGAGATGGCTCTGCTGTGATGAAGAAAAAAGATTTAATTGTATAATTTAAAGTTTACTGGGAAAACAGTAGATGCTAAAAGTATGTGGGCAGCTCTGAGTATGGATTTCAAAACCTCAGAATACTTGAAGCTTCAAGTTTTATCTTCTTGCAATTATCCAGAACTCTGCTAGTGAAAAATCGTTGTTAGTATCATGAAAAATCTTTAATTTAGATAGATTTTGGTTTTTTCCCCACTGTGTTAATAAAATACTCAAGGCCCAGATGTGTTCAGAAACCACTGGTGAGTTTTGCCTGTAGGTCAGATCCGGCTCTGCCTGGTGAGAGCAGAGAAACCTTCACCTGCAGTGAGCAGAACTCTGGTGTCCCTTTGCTACGAGCTGTTGCAACCTTGGAAAGGGCCTGAGGTGATTGTGTGTTCTACCCAAGTACACTGGGGCAATAGAATTATTTTATTTAGCTCAGCCCACCCTCTACATCAATACTGAGTTGGTTTTTTGGTTTGATATTTACTTCTTTAGGCAAGAAAGCTGGTTTTCTCCCAGCTTCCTCTTGAAGAAGATCCCATGTTGGACACTGTACTTGAATTAGTTGCCCTTTGGTTAAAACGTGAACTGTCATGGTCTTGTTAGGAGAGCATTTTAATACCAGAGATCAGAGGGAGCTCCTCCTGCAGTTTTTCTTCCTGTCTAAATGGGAGGGAAGAAAATCAGAGAAGAGCTAAGCTGATTAAACTGCAATAACATGACTTAAGTCTGTTAAATTTGTCACTGATTCCTTATGTAAAATCAATGTAACGTGAGGGTTATCAGAAGCTTGAATGTCACTGTGGAGTTTCTTTGGATCAGATAGCTCTAATAATTCATGACTAAAAGTAAGATTTTTTTTTTTTTGGTCTCCAAATGTCAGGCAAGCAGCTAAGGAAAGCCAGGAAAGAAAATTTCCAAGTTTTGTTCACTAACCTGCACTTAAATTATCTAATGTGGTGCAGCTCTGACCCATCAGTATTGCTTGGAGCTGTTGAAGCAGTGCCTCAGTTGGATACTGCATTTCCTGAAGGGAGTTTAGTCTGGATATGGTAACAATTCCTTAAAAGAACAGATGGATATCAATGTATTTGAAACAAGCCCATATTTCATTTTACAGAGTACACTTAGCTGTGTATATTATGTGTTAGAGAGCACTGTCTTCTTCTGAATCTGCTCTACATTGTAGAGAATAAAAAAGTGTCCTTCCAGCCCCCAAATGTTTAGTGACTTGTGAGCATGGTACTGCTATTCCTGGTTTTCTGGCACAAGAGAGCCCCTACAGTGATAACTCCTCCAGGGTTTATTGTCCCTAACAAGGTCCCTCTTAAACCTGCTGTGGCTGCAGATTCTGACTTCAGAAACCGCCACTTCACTCCTAATTACAAAAGGAACAGATGCACTTCCTTAACACTATAAATATTTCAATGGATTTTATTTAGTACCAAGTTGTCTGAACATTTTAAATGTTCTTGTGAATGACAAAAAGCATCATGTAACAGAGCTTGGGCAGTTTTAGTGGAAGGAGTTGTTTTTTCTTAACTCCTGAGTTGGTTTTTTTTCCTTCTTTTGCCTTTTAACGTTTGGGAGAGCCTAGCATATAATTAGCACAGCATCTGTAATCCTTCCTCTCTGCATTTGTGTTGAGAATTTGCTTAATTTAAACATTACTTACCAGTGGGGGTAAATTTCAGACCAACTGATTTAAATGTTAGTTTAAAACTAATCCACAGGTAAGATTACAAGTCTTAATGTGCTCTTCAGAAAAACTGTACCGAGTTTCTGTGCCTTGTTTTCAGGTGGCAGGTAAGGTAACAGCTTATGGGCCTGTCCTTTTGTTCTCCTGCTGAATCTCTGGGCAAACTGCTCAATAATTCATGGAGCTGTTCATTTAAGGCCAGTTCTAACCACAGGTGTAAAGTTTCTGAGACTTTTCCCTTGGTCCCCCACCCTCCCTCAGCATTCCAAGTGACTGCAGCCCAGCACAGTGAGCCAGCAAGGCACAAAGTTCAGCTGCTGAAGAAAGTGAAATTTGGGGTTCTTGATCCTTGACTTTGCAAGAAAACAAGAGAAAATAAATCCACCTCCGAAAAACCAAAGCTGGGTTCAGAGAAATATCTGCAGTTGGCTGGAAGCGTTAGTTGATGTCTTGTATCTGTCTTTGCAGTGGCTGATCCGTGGATCCCAGCTGCCTGCCAGGAGCAAGGGCTGTCCCCTGAGGCAGCTGGAGCTGCAGGAATCGCCTTGCAGGCTCCTTGTGGAGCAGTCTCATCTGCAGGCTGACAGCCCTTGTGCTGTGGAAGAGAGAGGAGGTTGTGTGGCAGGAGGATGTAAGTTTGGAAAGAGGGAAAATGTTCCTGTGGGTAGTTTGGTCAGTCTGGATTGATAGCTCCGTGTGGTTGTGGTTTGGGGAGACACCATAGCTGCTAAGGAGGATATTCCATGGTCTGGTCAGGAACTGGGGGTGTCAGCACAGGCCAGGGAAGGTTTATAGTGCCTCAGTGAATTGTGTAGTAACCTCCTTGTTGGGTATAGGAAGCTTTTTGGTTTGAAGCTGATGGGCTTAGAAGAGTTTGCAGTGTGGGTCAGGGTGAGGCATTAACTTCCATGTGAAGCCTGAAACACCTCTTAATTTTATTGCTTATCTTAAAGGGCACAAAACCAGAACTCAGTGAATAGCAACCTCCACTACATAAAACCCCTTCAGTTTGACTCCCAAACCAAGAGAGTACCAAAATGCTTGTAGTTTTGAGGGTTTGCCTCACCTAAAACCAAAGCATGGCAGGGAAACAGTAAAAGAAGGGTCATTTGGGCACTGTGGTAGTAAGGTACAAATTATACTGAAATGGCAGGGCAAGAGTGATAAGTATGTATTAAACAAGGTAGAGCAGCTGTTGGTGAATAATACTGGATATCATTTGGAATTCTTTTGTCTGCATGGGAAGAGTCACAATGGTGTGTATTGTGTTGGCTTCAGCCACGCTTGAACCTTTCCTTAATAACAGAAGCTGGGGAGGGCAAAAGGAAACAACAAAACAAAGCAACCTTTCCAGCACTGGTCTGAAGATCTGCAGGGCTCTGCAGATCCTGAACTTTAACAGTTTGCAGTGACAAGTGTCTGCAGGCCCACTCAAGTAACTGCTCAAACGCCTTAACTGGATTACAGATTTGAAATTTCCACACAGTGGAGTGTGGCCAGAGTCCTGTTTCTCACGTGGGAGAAGGAAGGGATACTAATTCCAGTTTTTTCTTACTACTTCTCTTCAAAGGTTAGTTCTGATTAGCAGTAGAAATAATTCTGTTTGCTGTCTTTCCTTTAGTAGTGTTTAGGTCCTCAGCTGTTCACACTTGGTAATGTAATTAATAAGAGTATCAAAGATCCTCTTTGATAAGACCTTTGGTTTTCAAAGACCTTCCATTTATTGCTGGAGTGTGGAAGGATGTGTAGAAGAAGACAGATTCCTTCTACAACATCTGGCTGGGGGGGCAAAAGAAAAGATCTCTGTATTGCTAAAGCCTGTTGTGTTTGCTCAGCCATCTGACACCAACCCTCCCTGAGGTGTCCTCCAGGAAACTGCAGCCTGGACAGGCTGGGAAAGAGCACACAGGTCAGTGCATATGGAACAGCTACTGATTTTTGAACGTTTGATCTTTCTGAAATAATGTGAACTGTCTCTAGTGAAATTAATAGGTATGATGATTGATCTGGATGCTCCTAATGGTTTGAAAAATACCTTGAAAATTAATGCCTGTTTGTCACCTGTTGGTTTTTTTTTTTTGATCCATGTGCTTGTCTAAAGACTTGCTTCCTGCTGCAGTGTG